GGAAAGAGCCTTTTATTCATTGTTTCGTTCTTTCAGTAGGTATTTATTGCACATTGCTGAGGATACAGCAATGAACCAAACTAATGTAGACCCTGCCTCCAAGGAGCCAAGGGGAACACAGACTTTCAGTGGTAACCCAAAGAAAAGACATTGGTGCCATGAGAATGTGTAATGGGCCTTTTTTTGGTTTAGAGGCAGGGAAGGTTCCCCTGAGGAAGTGACTCACAAGTTGAGATTAGAATGATCAGTAGGAGCTAACCAGGTGCATTGGAGAAAGGAGGGAAATGGGTCTTCCAGCAGAAGGGATAGCCTGTGCAAAGGCCCTGTGGCAGGAGGATCTGAGGGCCTTTAAGGGGCCAAGAGATGGCGTTTAGGGAGAGCAGTGTCTTCCTTTCTGATGGGGCTGAGGAGGTTGATAGTGTCTGATTCTTGGCACCCTGGGTGCAGGGGGAAGCTTAGGGGTCTAGTAGAAGCTGCCCATCTGCCCTGGGCAGTTGGAGGAGTAAAGGAATGAGTATTTGCCAAGGACCATTGGCATGTTGGCTCATCATTTGCATGTTGAGCGTGGCAGGCAGGTGTCAGTCTCCCTTTGCCTTGACAGATGGAGGCACTGAGGCTCAGAGAGGCTGAGTGACCTGTCCTAGGTCACACAGCTGGGAAGTGACAGGGCCAGGGTTAGAACCCAGGACTCCAAGCCTTTTCTTTCCCCCACATCCTTTTTCATCAATGGCAGAAGATTAAATCACATTTACTGTGATAAACTCATCTTGCCTGAACTCCTCAAAACTGCAGAGTCTCAGATTCATGGGAGATATTGGAGGACTCAAGCATTTCATCGCCCTCCACAACATCACCTGTTTCCTCCCCACCACCATGTGCTATCAACGCTCTGCTTCCACACCCTAAGGAATGGGGAGCTTATCACTTCCCGAGGAAGCCCCTTCTCTCTTTGGATAGCTCTAACGGGGCAGAACACACGTAGTACTTTCTATGGGGAAACTGAGGCACAGAGAAGCTCCCAGATCTGGGAAGAGCTGAGATTGTCAATGTCTTTGTTGGCTTCTTAGACAGTAGTTCATGCCTATTTGTGTGTGCGTGTGCGCGTGCACACATTTGTTTTCTAAGCATTTGAGAATCGTATTAAAGTGTGTCTTGGGCTTCCCTGGTGGCGCAGTGCTTGAGAGTCCGCCTGCCGATGCAGGAGACGCGGGTTCGTGCCCCGTTTCGGGAGGATCCCACATGCCGCGGAGCGGCTGGGCCCGTGAGCCATGGCCGCTGAGCCTGCGCGTCCGGAGCCTGTGCTCCGCAAATGGGAGAGGCCACAACAGTGAGAGGCCCGCATAACGCAAGAAAAAAAAAAAAAAAAGTGTGTCTTCTGTTTTAAAGGGCATTTTAGAATTCAGGTCCCTCAAAACGAAGATGTGAGCTCTGTGTGAATAGACATGGGGCAGGCAGCAGGACTCCTTGAAAAAGATCACCCCTTGTCAACACTTGTAAATGCAAACATGCTTTGGACCTTCAGAGTTGTTTTCCCCAGGGGATCGTGGCCAAGGCACAACTCCTCACTTAAATAAGCAAAGTGTTAGCTCTGAGAAAGGAGAAGCAAACAGGACCCTTAGACACAGATCTCCACTTGGGAGACCACTAATTACAGGTTTTCAGTTGTGGTGTGAACCCAGGCTAGCAGGGGGCGCCTACATGTTGCCTCACCCTCTTTCCGTCTCCTGGGTGGGTCAGAGATTTGGAATCGGGCAAAGTCAGCATGAAGTGTCAAAGAGTCAAGTTAGAGCCGCCAGAGACTGAGGCATTGCTGCATGAGTCGAGTAGGTGGGTAAGAGCGTGTGGCAGCCAGGTCTGACCCAGCCTGGCGGCTGTGGGAAGATCCTGTCTCCTCTGTGGACATCGTTCAGCTATTTAAATGACTTATCACTCTCACACACACACACACACACACACACACACACACACACACACACACACACACACACTTCTGAAGTCACTGCTGAGATAAGTGCAGCCAGCAATGCTCCTCCATTGTGTGGGTTATAAGAAGTCTGTTTTTACAAAATCAGTGTCTAGGGCCTTAGGTGAGTGAGAACACCTGAAGTTGGAGGCATAGGGTCAAGTGTTATCAACCTGGAGGAGATAGTTGGGGCAGGAGAGTGGGTGAGATGACTCAGATATGAGAGGTAGAGAGAGAGAAGTGCTCAGGTCAGAACCTCACAGAAACACCTGCATAGTTCCTCTCAGCATCATCCCCACCACCGTCAGCATCGCTATCATCATGCCCATCCTCACCACCATCATTATCACTGTCATTATCATCACTTGACTTGGTACCCTGGAAAGTGAACCTTTGGTTCTTCAGGGAGCCAGTAGGTATATCCTATAATAATAGTACTAGTAATAAGAGTGTATATACTTTTTAAAAAAATTTATTTATGTATTTATTTATTTATTTTGGCTGTATCAGGTCTTAGTTGCAGCACGCGGGATCTTTGTCGCGGCATGCGGGCTTCTTAGTTGTGGCATGTGGACTCTTAGATGTGGCATGTGGACTTCTCAGTTGCGGCACGCATGCGGGATCTAGTTCCCCGACCGGGGATCAAACCCAGGCCCCCTGCCTTGGGAGCGTGGAGTCTTACCCACTGGAACACCAGGGAAGTCCCAAGAGCATATATACTTTTTAATTGGTGTGTAAATGTACTTTGCTTTGAGTCCTCACCACAACCTGGAAAATGGGGGTAGGTGTTTTATCCCCATTTTGCAGAGAAGGAAACTGAGGCTTAGAGAAGTTATTGACATAGCTAGTGTGTGACAGCGTCTTCACTGGAGCCCAGTCGTCCAAGCTCCTGAGAACTGGGCCCCTGCCCTGCACCATGCTGTATCTTGACTGTGGGGCCTCCACTTTACGGGGTGGCCAGCTCTTGGCTCTGCACTCCCGTGAAGTTGCAACCCAGCCAGTCCCTCTAGAATTTAGGAAATGTCCTTTGGCTGCTTTCATGGACGTCGCAGCAAAAAAAGCCCATTAGACGTTTGGACTTGTGAGATTGGCATTCAGGTGATATTGAGGGTGTTGATGACGAACAAGGAGAGGGAGGAAACGAAGAAGAAAGAGGGAGAGGAGGAGATGAAGACATTGAGATTATGGTGGTGACGGTGGTGACCATGATTTAGATGGTGATAATTTTTGTTTTCTTTTATTGTTATTTTTTCAAACCCTGTGTCAAGGGCTGATGTTCAGTAGATTGCAGCAAGGGAGCTGCTCTGCTACTTATGAAACGCTGACCCAGAAGTAGGTCATCTTCAAATGGTTTACATTCCCCATGAATGTGTCTTGTAATGGGTGAGGGGTCAGCACCCTTTCCACCAGCACCCCTGCTTCCTGGGAAGAGGGGGGCTCCACACTGGGGCACGTGGTGGGGATAGAGGGGAACTGGCTATCTGAGGCCAACTGGGGCCCTGCAGTCCTGCTGTATGGTTCTGCCTGTGTGGGATTCTGACTTAGAGGTCTTTAGTCATAATCCCACAGATGGTAGCTTCACCCCATTGGCCAAACACATGCACCAAAGATGGTGATCGTAGTAATGATGCATAATAATAATGACAGCAGCTTTGAGTACCTACTATGTGCCAGGCTCTGTCTCATTGAATCCTCACAACAACTCTATCAGGTAGGTGCCATTATTCTCCCTATTTATAGATGGAAATCTGAAGTTTAGCGAGATTGAGTGACCTTCTTAAGATTCACACCCAGGACTCTTATAACCTGGCAAAGATTTATGTAATCATGGACAAAGCCTGTAACTTTTTTATCCTCTTCCTTTCTGAGTGGTTTGAGAAAACTAGAGATCTTTGTTTCCGGCAGAACTGACATTAGTCCCACTTCACAGATGGAAAAACTGAGGCCGATGCGGTTGGAGAGTCCGCCCGGAGGCACTGCTGCCCCTGGGTCATCCCAGCCCTCTCCTCCCGAGCCCACTCTCATCCGGAGCCCACTCACATCTCCTGCTTTGGTTCTGCAGACTCAGCGGTGGCGAGGGCTCGGCTCCCTCTGCCGGAAGGTGTGCTGCGTGGCGCTCCCCCTGCAGCTGCTGCTGCTGCTCTGCCTGCTGCTGCTCTTCCTGCTTCCCGTCAGGGAGGCAGACCGCAGCTGCACGCTGGCCAACAACTTTGCCCGCTCCTTCACGCTCACGCTCCGCTACGACGGCCCCCCGCCCACCTAGCCCCCTGGCGGCGCTCCGGGGACTTTCTTCTCCAAACTTCCATGTGCCCCAGGCTCCTCCAGAGGATGCTGGGGAAACTGGAAACAGGGGCAGGCCAGAGCCTGCCGGGCTGCATCCATGTAAATACTGTATTGATGTTCCCAGAGCAAAATTACTTTTTATACAGTGTTGTCTTAGTCTATTTATAACTAAACATGTTCTGTGTGGGACTAGGGAATAATGCATAGCATTTTTATATGCTCTCTATGTAAATGCTCAGTATGTATGATCTCATATATGACCTCTATTTGTCTTTGGGAAAATTCCCAGCAGTGTTTTTGTCCAGTGGGATCTTGTGGCATTTTGGCCTTGGTCTGCAGTCAGCCCTGGGAAGCAGGAACAATAACAGGTCGCTTTTATGGCCACCTCCTATCCAGAAGCCAAGCCCTACACCCAGATGTTCATGAAGAGGACTCTGAGCTGTCAGCATAGAAAAACAACCCTGGCCCTCATTCAGAGCCCAGTGACTCTTGCTTTAGGTACGGTGAGAACAACCATGCTTGTCTACTTTTTAGAATGATAGCAGATTAGACGCTGTGGATTAGAAGCAGAAAGGCTGCTGATCCCAGGCAGGCTCAATGGCAGCAATGAAAAGTGACAAGTGATAGAGTGAAATTAAGGGAGGAAAAGAAGAACTCCAAAGAGCAGACCCAGAGCTAAGAAAGCACAGCAGAGGGCTTCCCGGGTGGCGCAGTGGTTGAGAGTCTGCCTGCCGATGCAGGGGACGCGGGTTTGTGCCCCGGTCCGGGAAGATCCCACGTGCCGCGGAGCGGCTGGGCCCGTGAGCCACGGCCGCTGAGCCTGCGCGTCCGGAGCCTGTGCTCCGCAACGGGAGGGGCCGCAGCAGCGAGAGGCCCGCGTACCGCAAAAAAAAAAAACTAAAACAGATGAAAATCAGATTCTTGGGAAGCAAAGAGCAGAT